TAAAGGAGGTGGTCTCTTGTGTCACGTCTAGCCACGTGAATGGAGTAAATTAACCTTATAATATTATTACTTCTTTTTTTCAAAGTAATATAACTCTTAATTCGGGTTTCCAACAATGGACAACCCAATATATAAGGATTTACAACACTATACTAAAATTTAAGAGACCTACAATGGGTCTCCAAGATGAAGATGCTCTTATGTTTGAATGATGATGTGTTGTGATTGAATGAAGGAATGAAGATCTATTTATAGGAAAATTCCGGGCTTTACATCGCTTTTACGACGACTTTTTACGACGGTTTTACATTCAACAATAATATTACGACGAATTTACGACGATTTTGTGATAAAATCTTTCATCTACAATTGTTAGGTAAACATGTTTTAAATGTTTTTCACCTAACTTCTTTTTCGACGTAAAATCGTCGTAATATGTACATCGAAATGCAGTCGTCGTATATTCGTCGTAATTTTGCATCGAATTTACGACGATTTTACATTTACTAGCAAATCTCTCGTTATCGACGTATAATCGTCGTAATTCGTCGTAAATTGTACGTCGAGTTTACGACGATTTTTTTATACGACGGTGTTACGACGGTTTTAAAATTAGACGTAAGATCGTCGTAAAATCATTGTAAGTTTGCGACAATTTAAAAACCGTCGTAATGGACCGTTGGAAAACGATTGTTTTCTTGTAGTGTTACACCATCAGAGAGGAACAAGCAAACATCCACACCAACGACGAAGCAAGGAGCCACCGGAGACTAAAAAACCTGATGAACCCAGCAGTACCACACCAAGACCGAGCTCTGAACACCGGCATGGAAACAGAGAGCTTCACGCTGCCACTAGAAGCTCGCGCTGAGCCAACAGGAAAGCCACCGCCTTGAAGACACGCCGCCACTGTGAGCTAACCTAGGGACCACGCCGAAGCTCACCACAGGCTTCCATACACTGATGGAGGAGAGGAAAGAGACAGATCTGTTAGTAGTGCGTCGAGATCTGTCTTCGAAGATCTCACACCACGCACCGCAGGAGGATCCGGCTAGCCGCACCACCATGAGAGATACACTGCGGCAACACCAAGAACAAGAGAGATCCCACACCGTGCGCCAAAGACTACCACCGGAGGTGAAAAAACAAAAGATTCGCCGAAACCACACTCCTCTTTCGATTCAAACCTCCGCACAGAGCAAACGAAGCCCACCTGACGCAACACCCAAGGCAAAATGAACCGAAGAGGGCAAAGGCCTCCCCGGCGGCGGCGAGGAGCGCCAACCACCGAGGAGACAGATCGAGATAATTAGGGTTTGGCGGCGCTATGAGAGATTTTTGACAAACCAAAAAAAATAAATACTACTATTTGAGAAGACATTCAATATCTGCTCCATTCTTTTTTCCATTGACAAATTTTACTTATTGAATAACTAAGTAAAATCGGGCTTTTCGAAAGGGAGCCCGTTCTAAACTAAGGGCTTGAATGGTGACATACATAGGTGTGGTTTTTTAGTAAAGTTGTCAATTTTACTTATGTGTCACCATTCAACCATTTTTAACAATCCAAAAAGAATTTTCTATCTGTTGTTCTTTTATTAAAATATTAATATAAGTACAAAAGTTTTAAAGAGTTTTGTGAAGGAAAAGTAAAAATGTCTTGAATAATAATACTGCACATATTTTGCTGTGTTTTTATATATTCAGTGTGTTTTTCAATTTAAAAAAATATATATTAAATAAAAAATAGACAACTTAATTTTGTCGAGAAATTCAATTATATTCAAAAAAATATTTATTTTAATCTTTTAAAATATTTGAAAATATTAATTTGTATTATTTATTATTTTGTACCGCTTATTTAATACTAATCATATTTATCCCATAATTATATTTTTTTATATGTACTGCTGTTGAACCGTATTATATTTTCAAATTATTTATCTCGCACAATCAAATATGTTTTCACCATTCAGATCCTAAATTACAAATGTATGAAAAAATCAGAGTAATGACACATCAAAACCGCTAAAGAAACTAAGTTAAATGAATCATATTTAATTGATGATTGCACGAAGACACACTGGCTCGCACATCCAGACGTCGATGCAACGTTTTGGACCCATGTGATGTGACTCATTTACAATTTTGGTTCATTTGGTGCCATCGAAGATTTTGGATATTTAGCGAGGAATGTACGTCAAATCTTAAACTCAAACTTCGACAGTGGTAAAATTGACTAATTTATTTTGTTCTGATGTTCACAAAAATAGTTTCAAGTTGTCTTTCGTTCGAAGATACAGTGCGAGCATGTTCTCCACTTTTGGCATTTTTTTTTAGCAAAAAAAAATACACAATGCCATTATACATCTTTGTCACATGCACAAAAAAAAAGGTTAATGTTGCCACTCTCCAAAATTTGTTACGTATACCATTTTCTCAAATTCTCAAAAGCTTAGCTGACTTCCACGACCCAATATGATACAAAATTAGCGATCCAGATTGGTAGCAAATTAATCTTAATTTGTTGATCAGAAAAAATTAAAATTTAGGAAAATAATAAACTTATACTGTCTATTAATGTGGTGATTGATGCCACACATTTTAAGAGTTCATGTCAAAGCCATTGGAACAAGAACTACTTGGCAAACATGCATGTTCACCAAAACACAAAAGGTTTAAATTCTAAGTACTTAAAACAAAATGGACAGTAGTCATGATTCAATTTGCGTTTTCTGTCTTGAAGAGTATTGGAGAGTTGACATTTATTTTGGAAATGAGGTTAATACCGACAATTTGGGGATTCGATTTGCTTACTAAAACTTTATATACCCTGGCCCTTGGTTTCAGCACAAACAACTAAAAATGGTGTTGTAATCACATGCAGAGATCCATGCATGTGAATTATGATCCATTCATTAATAGACATATGTTTGTATATTATATTCTAACAACGCATGTACGCTTCATTCTTAGTTACGTGACATTATCACATTCTATTTAACAAAAAAAAAATAACAAAAGAAAATCTTAATTTAAAGTATAGGAATAGATTCACGGGCTACACTATTATTACTACACGCCAAGTCTCACCGGCAAACTTGTGACCGCGTCCATACATTTCTTTCCTTTGTTACTAATTTATTATCTTGTATTCCCCCCTTTTCTAACGTATTATCATTTTAAATATACTTATATATCAACTATGAACTATCCCAATATATATATATATATATATATATATATGGTTTCTGTTAGCGACTCAATTTATGCCATAAAGGGACAAATACTAAAATAATTTCATAGATAATTAATCATCAATCACGGACTCGCTCGATCACTTCTCGTGGAAAGTTGAGACCTTAAAAGATGTAGAAGAAAAAAAAAATTCTCAAAAGTTGTATAGTATGTCAGTTGAATACCAGAGAATAGCACAGTAGGTTGATCATGAAACAATATAATTACTGCAACGAAAAAAACTCGTATAAACTGATGAGTAAACAGAAAAAGAATTGTAAAACAGTTAAAACAATTAAATGCTACTATTTAGTCGATGAAGAATGTTTTGCCTAATTTAATTGCATGTGCGTAATGTCTGAGATCTATGAGGAAACTCGGGACTATTTGTTCCTAAGCTGCCTTTTACATTTATGATGTGTGGAGGTTGAGATTTGAGAGAATCAATGCTCCATTTTGGGATTAGGTTTTTGGCAAGTTTTTCTTCGTGGGCTAAAGCGGCTTTACCCGGTTGAGTTCTGCATGTCCAAGATCGTGGATAGACGGTCCGTAACATTTTGCTTAGTTATGAAAGACTGTCCAAGTTTCAGTGGCTTGTGAAAAACGTTTTATACGTACCAGTTTAATAAAAAGGTACTACGTATAACGTACTACATGTATATAAAAAAAAAAAATATTTGGCCTCAGTGGATAAGTTTTGTGAAGTCTTAGCAAACACTATAAGCATTTGATGCTGCATGTAGCACACATCTAAAATATTTTGTAATTAGTTAATACAAACAATGACCAGTGTCATTATTTTGACATTGATTATAGATTAAAAAAAAGTACTATTGCTTTGGACCTAGCTAGAATTGATTCTCTTTTCTCTAGTTGTGTGTTTGTTGTGGACTTTAAAAATATTATAGGTAGAGACAAAAACTAAATTCCAAAAGTTTGCCTAGAATCCTCATAAACAAGTGGATCCAATAATCGAAGAAGCAAGAAAAGAGGAAGGATCTCTTTACATGTCTTGGTGGTATTCAGAAAATTGATAGGTGTCCCTTCAGTCAAATAATAATGACAAATTATATTCCTTCGTTTATCGTCAATAGCCATAACATTACAAAATAGTTTGAATCTCGCAGTCTTTTTTCTTGTTGTTGTAAATCAACAACATTATATCCTAAAGTAACACCATTAGCCAAAAAGGTAATCAGGGCTGTGCCTAAAGTCTTAGACTCTCAAACAAATAAAACAAATGTAGCTTCTATGTATGATACATCGTATAATTGCTAATCATGAAATACAACGAATAATTTAGTTTTAGTGATTGAGAGTAATTGGGAAAAACAAAAATATTTGATCATGGTCATTCCAAGCCAAAACGCATATTAAATATTTGTAGTCCATAACAATTTTGATTTTTTTGCCACTACAAGATATTTATGGGTGACCATCCATTATTGAAATCGTAGTGTATTCAAACTCTGACCTAAATCCATAGTATGAATCTTATAATCACTGGACTGCCATGAGATAGTAAATTAGTCAACATCATCTGACAGTTAAAAAGAAATGTACAACGAAGAAACGTACTTTTTTTCTTCTTCTTTTGAATAAGAAAACTTCTAATATTGTATTCTTTATATTACAGTCCAACTTCCTTCATCTTATAAAATCGCAATTTGGCATGTTCATATTATCACGGATGTTGATAATGGGAACATTATTATAACAGAAGAAGAAAAAAAAATATCTTAGAGACTCCTTTGGTCTATATAAAGAGGAAGAGACTAAATAGTTTTAACATACTTCATCACTTGTACACTAAACCAAACCCTAAACCATCTTTCTCAACATGGGGCTTCTTCACAAGCAAAACTCCTCCTTTGTGATACTCATCCTCCTTGGTTTCCTTGCAGTCTCTTACGCTTGTGACTGTAGTGACCCTCCCAAACCATCTCCACACCCCGTTAAACCGCCTAAACATCCCGTTAAACCGCCTAAACCACCAACCGTCAAACCACCTCCTCATCATACTCCTAAACCACCTCCTCATCACACTCCTAAACCACCTCCTCATCACACTCCTAAACCACCTCCTCACCACACCCCAAAATCACCTCCTTACACTCCTAAGCCACCCACCGTTAAACCACCTCCTTACACTCCTAAACCACCTCCTCACACACCAAAACCGCCCACCGTCAAGCCTCCACCTCCGTACACTCCAACCCCAACACCTTCTCCTCCACCGTACACTCCAAAACCACCCACCGTGAAGCCGCCGCCACCGCCAACTCCAACCCCAGAGACGCCATGTCCACCACCGCCACCTCCACCAACCCCATGTCCTCCTCCGCCTCCGTCTCCCGTACCAACGCCTAAACCAGAGACTTGCCCGATAGACGCACTGAAGCTAGGCGCTTGTGTGGACGTTCTTGGCGGTTTGATTCACATCGGACTAGGGAAAAGCTACGCAAAAGCGACATGTTGCCCGCTTCTTGGCGGTTTAGTTGGTCTTGACGCAGCAGTTTGTCTCTGTACCACCATTAGAGCCAAAGTTCTCAATATTGACCTCATTGTTCCCATAGCTCTTGAGCTTCTTATCGACTGTGGCAAGACTATACCTCGTGACTTCAAGTGTCCTGCTCCATAGAAAAGGATTCCTCTCTTGGGTTGATCTCATGTGTTTCACACTTTCACTTGATACAGTAAAAAGTGTTTTGAGATCTCAAAAATCAGAAAGAAAATTTTATGTAATTGTAATGTGATTGTACGTTGGAATAATGTTATCTGAAATCCTATTTTTGAAATTTTAATGGGATTATAGTAATATTAATAAAAAAAAACAAATACTGGAATATCCATTTCAAACTCTTCAGCTATTTGATGATTAATTTAAAGCTCAACTAAATTCCATAAACAATCACTACAATATGCGGTTGTTAAAGTTGGGTAATTTGCATCATTTATTAAACTGACTATAATTTTTTTTAGGCAGGAAATTATGTTCACTTTAAAAAGTGACTTAAAATTTTGGGTCACGTTGCATTTGGTCTTAAAATTAAACCTATTTCAATTTAAAGAAAAACTAGCAAAAGAAAAAAAATCAACTTTCCCCGAAAACTCTTTACTTCTCCTTCAAAACCAAAATCAAACTTTTTCTATTCTCAGTTTCAAAATCAAAATCAAAGAATTACTCAAAAGTTTCATCGAATTTTATTTACTTTGAATTAAAATCGAAGAAATCGTTCTCGATCTCAACAGTTTCAGCATTGAAAAACTTCGAAAAGCTCATCTCTGATCTCAGTTTGTACGGTATTTTCCGAAGCTTATATCTCGATATCAGTTTGTAATTCCGTAAACGATTTAAATCTTCTATCTACTGTAATGTTAAAACCTTAAACGACTGCAAGTTTAATCAAACTGCTATGGTTTAGTTTGTAAAAAAAACGATAGGTATTCCCTATTTTTAAACTATATCGTACCATTTTAGTTTTAACTCGCGAATGCTTGTCGTTTTTTTGACAAACAAAACACATGACATGGTTAAACGGTATTAATCGAGGGTTTTAACGTTACCATGTGAACTGATAATGAATATACTATCACTAATAGAATTTAGTTGAATTTTTAAATCACAAAACTTTATTGTTGAGAGATTTAGAATGGATATGCTGATATTTTTTAGAATAGTAATCTCAAGCACAAACACTACGTACACAATGGTCAGTACTGAACGTGCACATGTGGTGTTCTTGACCCATACTAAGTCAGTCAAATCGGAATATTTTAATTGGACAAAAAAAAGAATATATTATCAAGAGATACGTGCAGTCATATATAGAAAAACAACAAAAGATTATGGTCTCTTGTCTCTCGTTTTTGGATTCCAAACGTACAAGTAACTAAGAGTTTGTGTCACAGACAATGTGATGATCACTGAGCGGCTGATCGCCATCTACGTTAGTACATACCTTACGGTCTCCTAGGAAAAGATAGGAAACGTTTTTATATGACAATGTATATACATTGATATTTTAATTGTTTAATTTTACTAAGATATGATCATGTCACGCACGTTTAGGGATTCTTCAATCAATCAATTCCCTTAACATCCGTCATGTACAACTTGTGTAATTTTTAGCATTTACGTGTCAGATATGCTCCTTTTTTATAAAATGATGTAATCGTTTCTCTTTCAATTGTAAATTACTTTAATGATTTCAATTATGAAATCTGCTTCCCAAGACCTACTAGATTTGATTTAATTCAACCACAGTAATTACTTGTAAAAGATGAATGACTAACATTGATCCATGCTTGATTGGGCTTGTTGTGGAATCAATTCATCAAGTGATTCTTTTTCCCTTAGACCTCAAAGCCTTTATGATTCCTTTGATGGATAAGGAATCAAACCTTTCTCACTCTTTCTCCTTTACGTATGGTGGTGTGTGTTTCTCTCAAATTTTCTTATTGTTAAAAACACTTAATATGATGTCTCTTTTATAATAAAGAAACACACATCTCTTTGACCAACCATTGCAACCTTTCATACATGGACGTTTGATGCATATAATAACTGTCCATGTTTAATGTGCAAATACACACACTAATTATGAGAAAGTCATATAATTTAATAAGGTAAGGGAAGAGCGTTATTAATACACCCAGATTCTAATATCTTTAATCGAAACCTATCCATCACGGTATCGTTTTTTATATTAGAATCTTAAATTTTAATATGAACTTGATCTTTACAATTAAACCGAAAGACACATAGGTCACATAAGAATATAAATATTCTTACATTCTCCCACTTGACCTTTGTGTCGACTTAATGGTTCAATAACTATAATGCGCGCCTTTATATCAAGTTCACTTGACCTTTAACTATCATAATAATATCGGAACTGATCGAATCATGGCGGTCACACGTCATTGAACGACATGATTCCTTCCATGTATCACAAACCAATCCTAATTCTATATAGATAATTTTCCTTATGTTGAGAAGAACCTTAATTCTCAACTTAACCATATGTTATCCATGAACCTTAAGTGTATACACATACTTTACTGATAACATACTTAATAAAAACAGAAACATAACTTTAAGTGAATTCATAGTAGTGTCACACACCTAATGAGCAAACCATAATCAATACAGCAAGGTTTTATCTATAATACCCATACGCTCTACATGGCCAATGAACGCCTTGGGTGGTAATCCTTTCGTTAACGGATCTGCAACCTTCATATCCGTTCTTATATGCTCAAAGGACACTCTATGTTTCTGTACTTCTTCTTTGACAGACAAGTACTTTAACTCCATGTGCTTAGCACCCTTCGAGTACTTGCCACTCTTTGAAAAGAAGACAGCTGCAGAATTATCACAATAAATTCTCAGCGGCCTCTCTATACTGTCGACAATTCGAAGCCCTGAGATAAAGTTCCGCAGCCACAATGCATGAATTGTGGCCTCAAAGCATGCCACAAATTCGGCCTCCATAGTGGAAGTAGCAATGAGAGATTGCTTCCCACTTTTCCATGATATTGCTCCTCCAGCTAATAGAAACAAATAGCCAAACGTCGATTTCCTGCTATCGACGCACCCGGCATAGTTTGAATCTGAATATCCAATGACCTCTAGCTGGTCAGATCTCCTATATGTAAGCATGTGCTCTTTGGTGCCTTGCAAGTACCTGAGAACCTTCTTTGCAGCTTTCCAGTGGTCCATTCCGGGATTACTTTGATATCGACCCAACATACCAACAGCAAAGCTGATATCTGGTCGAGTACATGTCTGAACATAGTTCAAACTTCCAACCACTGATGCATATGGAATTCTTTCCATTTCCTTACGCTCCAATTCATTTTTAGGACATTGCATTTTACTGAACTTGTCCCCTTTCTGAATTGGAACTATCCCTGCGGAGCATTTATCCATTTTATATCTCTCTAAGACTTTATTGATATATCCTTTCTGAGACAAGCTTAACAATCCTTGTGATCTATCTCGAAGAATTTCTATTCCGATCACATAAGATGCCTCACCCATATCTTTCATTTCAAAGTTCTTAGAGAGATACTTCTTTACATCATGTAGCATGCCCATGTCATTTGCAGCAAGCAAAATATCATCAACATATAGGACTAAAATCACAAATTTACTCCCACTGACCTTAATGTAGATACAGCGATCAACAATGATCTCTACAAAACCATATGACGTGATAGTATCATTGAACTTTAGATACCATTGTCTAGAAGCTTTTTTTAGTCCATATATTGATTTTCTCAGCTTACATACCAGATGTTCTTTTCCTGTGGTCACAAACCCTTCAGGTTGGTCCATATATACTTCTTCCTCAAGCTCTCCATTCAGAAAGGCGGTTTTCACATCCATTTGGTGAAGCTCGAGATCATACTGAGCCACCAAAGCCAAAACAATCCTTAGAGAATCCTTCTTTGAAACCGGAGAGAAGGTCTCTTTGTAGTCGATGCCGTCTTTTTGGGTGAAACCTTTAGCAACAAGGCGAGCCTTGTACCTTTCAATGTTACCTTTCGAGTCGCGGTTAGTCTTAAAGACCCATTTAGATCCAACGGTTTTGAAACCGTTAGGCAACTCTACTAAGTCCCATACTTTGTTATCATCCATAGACTTTATCTCTTCTTTTGAAGCAATCAACCACTTTTCAGAATTTTCACTTTCCATGGCTTTCTGGAATGACTTCGGGTCTTCATCAATGCTTATGTCACATTCACTTTCAATAGCATAAACCACATAGTCATTTGAAATGGCAGATCTTCTTTCCCTTCCAGATCGCCGTAATGGTTCTTGTGGATCACTATTCTCTTCTTGAATTATGACTGGTTCATTAATTGTACTTTCAGCTAGTGGGGTTTGTACATCATTATGGTGTTCTATTGTGCCATTTAACTGTGATGCAACAATAGGAAAATCAACCTTAGGTACAATACCAAGTGGAGGGACTTCAACTTGTATTTCTCGAATGTCAACCTTTCTTAGTTCACCACTCCCACTAGTTTCACCATTCTCAATGAACCGAGCATTACCCGACTCAACTATTCTCGTACTATGGTTAGGACAGTAAAAAGTATACCCCTTTGATTTTTCAGGATAGCCAATGAAAAATCCACTGACAGTCCTTGAATCAAGTTTCTTTTCATGTGGGTTATATAGCCTTACTTCTGCTGGACAACCCCAAACACGCAAATGCCTTAAACTAGGTTTCCTTTCTGTCCACAGTTCATAAGGGGTCTTAGGAACTGCCTTACTAGGAACCCGGTTAAGTACATACGTTGCAGTCCTTAATGCATATACCCACAAAGAAAGAGGTAAATAACAATTACTTAACATGCTCCTAACCATATCCATTAAAGTACGATTCTGCCTCTCAGCTACACCATTCTGCTGAGGTGTACCAGGCATTGTGTACTGTGCACAAATGCCTTTCCTTTCAAGTAACTTTGCAAATGGACCTGGACATTGTCCACTTTCATCGAATTTTCCATAAAACTCACCACCTCTATCAGACCTCACAACCTTTACTTTTCTATCTAACTGCTTTTCCACTTCATCAATGAATACCTCTAGGACATTCACTGACTTGGATTTTTCATGCAGTAGATATGTATAACCATAACGTGAGTAATCATCGATAAAGGTGATAAAGTACTTTTCACCGCTCTAAGAAGGAGCATCAAAAGGGCCACAGATATCGGTATGTATTAACTCAAGAAGCTGAGTGCTTCTAGTGGCTGGTTTCTTTACAATATGCTTAGTTTGCTTTCCTTTAATGCAGTCTATGCATACATTTAGGTCACTGAAAT